AGACACGAGCAGAGGTTTAAGAAGAAACTGCTGGAACACACAGATGCGAATAACATCTCCTCCCTCCTCCTGATGGCAGCCAATCGCTGGCTGGAGGTTCGCATGGTAATGAAAACCATCATAGCAAATCTAGCACAGATTTAAATTACATATACAGTCAAACCAAAATTTATTCAGACACCAGATATAATTTTTGATATTTTTTTTACTAGTGGTTGCAGGACACTATAGTTCATTCATGTAAGTGAGGATAGCAAAATAAAGTAAACTGTGACAGGACACTATAGTTCATTTATGTATGTATGTGAGGATAGCAAAATAAAGTAAACTGTGACAGCTTATACCCAAAAATTCTTCATACAGTGGACTACCAATAAAACTGATAAAAATTTGGGACCAAAAATTATTCAGAATTCCAAACTGCCTAAAAATGTGACCAAGTGGCAGTAAATAAATGATGAATAGAAGAGGCCCCAAGACTGAGCCTTGGGGAACACCATCAGTAACATGCACTAGCTCAGATCTGAAGTTTTTAAGTTGTACAAACTGAGTGCGATCAGAAAGATATGATCTAAACCAAGACAGACAGGTGCCCGTAAATCCCAGGGAGACATTGTTAATGAATGCATATTATTTTTGTATTGGCTGTGTGCAGGAGTACATCGGGGCGTTTGTGGTGCTGATCGCGGCGGTGGCGTCTATAAGCAATGCTTTATGCAGTCAGCTCTCAGCGGGACTGGTGGGTCTGGGACTCACTTACACTCTCATGGTAAACTGCAGAAACAAACCTGCTGCTCATCAGTCTTTACTAGCGAGTGTTCCTCACTAACTGCCTCCGCTCTGCCTCCGTGAAGGTGTCCAACTATCTGAACTGGATCGTGCGTAATCGGCAGACATGGAGGTGCAGCTGGGCTGCGTGAAGAGAGTCAGCGGTCTGATCCACACGCAGCCGGAGAACTACGACGGACTCATGAGTGAGACACTGACACAACGCTGGGAAATAAGAGGGAACAGTCATAAAAGCATGAGAATAAAAGGGGGAAATGAAAAGAAATAATAACAATAAAAAATACATTTAAAAAAAATAATAATAATAAAATATGAACATATGGATCAAATATTTATTTGAAATCATAAGATTTATTTTTGTAAAAAATGCAATGCATTTTTGCTGATATATATGCCAGTTCATATTCATTCAGAGGGAAAAACAAACAAACAAACATAATAACAGCATTTTTGGGAACATAAACAAATATATATTTTAATTAAATAATATTTGAAAATCATATGTATTCTTTAATATATAAAATATTTTAACAGTATTTTATATATATATATATAT